AACCTTCAATGGCATGCCAAGTTTAATAGCAAAATTGCGGATTCCTTCGATGAACTTGTCGGCCTTTTGATCAACAGTTCCTTCATGAACACCAAAAACGTACTCAGCTGCTTCTGCCATTGTCTCTTTTCTTGATTCCTTAAGCCTTTCGTAAAGGACTGGTGCAACAATTGCAAGTGTGGCAGCATGATCAATACCGTACATTGGAGTCAATGGCTGTGCTGTAAGGTGAACTTCCCAATATGGTGTCTTTCCATAAGCGAATATTTGGTTCTGTGCGAATTCTGAAGCAACAATCAATCTCTCATGAAGTTCTAATGAAGCATCAGGTTGCAATAAACCAGTGCTAATGTCAACAAGTTCTTTCATGACAGAAAAGAAGAAATTGTCTGCCATTGGGCATTTATCGCCTGTAATAACTTGATCTGTGCAATGAATCATCGCATCGAACAAACCATTTCTGATTTGTCTCTGTGGTAATGTCATCGTGTATCTTGGATCAATGATTGAGAACTTCGGATATGTGATTTGAGCACCTCCGTAATTCTTTTCTTTCCTATCTTCTCTTGAGATAACAAATGTATTGTTCCATTCAGAACCAGTTGCTGGAAGAGTAATGATTGAACCAACTGGAATCGCCTTCTCAGGGAAAGCACCTTTTGAGATGATATCCCAAGCATCAACTGATGGATCAAGAGATGCAGCAGCTGAAATGAACTTGGTTGCATCAAGAACTGAGCCACCTCCAACGGCAAGGAGTAAGTCAGGTTTGTATTCACGAACAACTTTGATAATTTCCAAACACGTTTTGTATTCTGGGTTTGGCTGAATGCCTCCTTGCCATTTGACTTCGCATTCAAGATCGGCTAATGCTTTAACAACACTGAACGAGCACCATTCTTATCAATTGATCCGCCGCCAAATGTGCATAAAACGCGTGATTTTCTTGGGACGAAATCCTTGAGATGCTCTTGAACAGCATTAGCACCGAAAGCTAACTGAACATTATTAGTCCAAAGCCACTTCATCCTCTATTGATGTATAAAAATGAAGTGTATTTTTTTAATTAACTATTTATCTCAAATTTTTGAGAGAAAAATATATTCCGGCCAATTGTTTAAAAATTACATTGCTTTTGATAATTCAAGATTATATAGCTTCGAGTTCTTATTGTTCAATAAATACATGATAAAAATTTTGAAACAAGTGAGTTGCGTCATAAAGTTTTGAATTTTTTCTGACATTTGTCCATATGAATTCACAGCTATTTTGCTAACCATTTAGATATTAGAATTACAATAAATTAATTATATGTCTCATTAAGACAGTGATTGTAGTTCAATTTCAATTTTTGAATCGAAATTCAGATATGATTATAAGGCGATCATTTATTTTTGATCAATATTATATATTGGTGTTTCAAATTAATGTTTAATACTATTTGCATGGATTTTCAAAAGTTATTTGTAACTTCAGTCATTTAAAATTTATTAATTTCATTAACCATATATAGGAGGATGAAGTTAATGTGGATCTTATTTTTATCATGATTAAGATAGAAAGAATAATAAAAATGAATTTTTAGTTATATTCAAAGTTTATTCATACATTTATTATATTTATCCATATCTAGTGATAATACTCATATACTCTGCCATAGAACCTGCATTATACCTTCCTCGAAGATATTCATGTTGAACAGGACCCCCACTATTTTCAATTCTGCTAATTCTAGAGTCTGTTTTTTGAGAAGATGAACTGCTCTTCGATTGGGATGATCCTTGCTTAGAACTCATCTTTTAAAAATGAAATGAGTTCTATTTTTTGTCAAAAATTTTATTCCTAGTCAAAAATTTTGAATCAAATTGATTCACACTATAATGATTAAAATTTAAAATATTTGATCGATTGTTATTAAAACTATAACTTCAAGATAAAATTAATCTAATGAATTCTTATTTCAAAAAAAAAGTAAAGGCTCAAAGCTAAAAGCTAAAAGATTGATAACAGCACCGTATTTATTAAGATGAACAAAACAATCGCAAATCAAATTGAATGATTAAGGAGAAAGGAAATTTAAAGAAAAATTGAATACCCTCAAAATTTCAAAATTTTGAAGAGGAATTCATTAGATTAATTTTATCTTGAAGTTATAGTTTTAATAACAATCGATCAAATATTTTAAATTTTAATCATTATAGTGTGAATCAATTTGATTCAAAATTTTTGACTAGGAATAAAATTTTTGACAAAAAATAGAACTCATTTCATTTTTAAAAGATGAGTTCTAAGCAAGGATCATCCCAATCGAAGAGCAGTTCATCTTCTCAAAAAACAGACTCTAGAATTAGCAGAATTGAAAATAGTGGGGGTCCTGCTCAACATGAATATCTTAGAGGAAGGTATAATGCAGGTTCTATGGCAGAGTATATGAGTATTATCACTAGATATGGATAAATATAATAAATGTATGAATAAACTTTGAATATAACTAAAAATTCATTTTTATTATTCTTTCTATCTTAATCATGATAAAAATAAGATCCACATTAACTTCATCCTCCTATATATGGTTAATGAAATTAATAAATTTTAAATGACTGAAGTTACAAATAACTTTTGAAAATCCATGCAAATAGTATTAAACATTAATTTGAAACACCAATATATAATATTGATCAAAAATAAATGATCGCCTTATAATCATATCTGAATTTCGATTCAAAAATTGAAATTGAACTACAATCACTGTCTTAATGAGACATATAATTAATTTATTGTAATTCTAATATCTAAATGGTTAGCAAAATAGCTGTGAATTCATATGGACAAATGTCAGAAAAAATTCAAAACTTTATGACGCAACTCACTTGTTTCAAAATTTTTATCATGTATTTATTGAACAATAAGAACTCGAAGCTATATAATCTTGAATTATCAAAAGCAATGTAATTTTTAAACAATTGGCCGGAATATATTTTTCTCTCAAAAATTTGAGATAAATAGTTAATTAAAAAAATACACTTCATTTTTATACATCAATAGAGGATGAAGTGGCTTTGGACTAATAATGTTCAGTTAGCTTTCGGTGCTAATGCTGTTCAAGAGCATCTCAAGGATTTCGTCCCAAGAAAATCACGCGTTTTATGCACATTTGGCGGCGGATCAATTGATAAGAATGGTGCTCGTTCAGTGTTGTTAAAGCATTAGCCGATCTTGAATGCGAAGTCAAATGGCAAGGAGGCATTCAGCCAAACCCAGAATACAAAACGTGTTTGGAAATTATCAAAGTTGTTCGTGAATACAAACCTGACTTACTCCTTGCCGTTGGAGGTGGCTCAGTTCTTGATGCAACCAAGTTCATTTCAGCTGCTGCATCTCTTGATCCATCAGTTGATGCTTGGGATATCATCTCAAAAGGTGCTTTCCCTGAGAAGGCGATTCCAGTTGGTTCAATCATTACTCTTCCAGCAACTGGTTCTGAATGGAACAATACATTTGTTATCTCAAGAGAAGATAGGAAAGAAAAGAATTACGGAGGTGCTCAAATCACATATCCGAAGTTCTCAATCATTGATCCAAGATACACGATGACATTACCACAGAGACAAATCAGAAATGGTTTGTTCGATGCGATGATTCATTGCACAGATCAAGTTATTACAGGCGATAAATGCCCAATGGCAGACAATTTCTTCTTTTCTGTCATGAAAGAACTTGTTGACATTAGCACTGGTTTATTGCAACCTGATGCTTCATTAGAACTTCATGAGAGATTGATTGTTGCTTCAGAATTCGCACAGAACCAAATATTCGCTTATGGAAAGACACCATATTGGGAAGTTCACCTTACAGCACAGCCATTGACTCCAATGTACGGTATTGATCATGCTGCCACACTTGCAATTGTTGCACCAGTCCTTTACGAAAGGCTTAAGGAATCAAGAAAAGAGACAATGGCAGAAGCAGCTGAGTACGTTTTTGGTGTTCATGAAGGAACTGTTGATCAAAAGGCCGACAAGTTCATCGAAGGAATCCGCAATTTTGCTATTAAACTTGGCATGCCATTGAAGGTTTCAGACTTCCCTAACGCTTCAAAGATTCAAGAAGGAGATGTTAAATTCCTTGTTGAAAGAGCTTTAGAATTAGGAAGAGGTCAACAATATGGATACAACAACGAATTGAATGCAAAAGTTGTTGAAGAGATTCTTTCTAAAGTTGTTCAATAAAAAAACAACTTAAAATGAAATAAAATCATCATTTTAGAATTTTAATATTTTTTTAAACATTACATTCCATGCAGAATGTTTTATTCTTTCTATTTTCAAACTTGAAATTCCTATAAAAGCTTCTTAGTTCATACATAGCTCCAAAAATAGCGCACAGTGCATTTGATGTATTTCCAACTATATGAATGCAAATACTGTTGAATTGATTCCTATCAAAGTAGGTAAATAAAATCCCCATATAAATATGCAAACTAATGAAATATATGTAAAAGATAATCACTGAATAGAATTTTATTCATAATTTCTCAATGAATTCCGCTTTATTAATGAACGAAATAAATATAGCTCTTCTATTTACAGTACAAGCAATCTGTGTTAATGTTAGATAAGTTTGTTACAATTATCCATTAAAAATTGTTTCAATCACGATTTGATAAAATTTTTTTTGAAATATCGAATCTAAATATTTCAACAGTTAAATGCTGTGAAAGATTTTAAAACAACACAAAGTCTGCCATTTGGCTCACTTCTGACCTTGTTGCTTTTCGATGAAGTAAACAAAAAATGAATAGATAATAGACGATATAGACCAATAAATATAATCGGTTTTCATTGAATTATTTTCAGAGGTAGGTATGAATTCACATGACTAATTCTGATAAAAATGAAAATCCCATTATATTATACGAAATTATTAAATATCTCTTAAATATTTTTCAATAGATTCATGATTCAAAACTTTGAAATAAGAAAAACACTTCATTTTTGTGAATGTCAGCTCGCCCAGCAGTCGGATGGGAATCACATTTTATTGCAACCAAGGCATATATTCAATTTGCATTGAGCATTAGCGATAAGTCATTTATGCCAAAACTACTCAACAAGATAGACAAAACAGTTGCCGCTCTTCATTATGGTACAGATGGAAAACAAATATTTAGGACTCATGGCTCTACACCAATATATAAACTCCCTGATAACGTCACTGATCTTGGACAATTAAATGAAATTATGTATCAGAAGTATACTCGTCCATTAGACCACGCATTAGCCTCTATTGGGACAAATAAAGATACTATTGTTCTTAATATTAACCATCTTGCAGCAGATGGAGGATATCTTCATAATTTATTTGAATTTTTAAAGACAGATGAAGATATCAACTACATCCCTAGTATTATTCCAACAGAAAAAGTATTTGAAAAAGAAATTAATGAATATAATGGATCTCTTCCATTGTTCCCAGTTGCAGATCCATCGTTAACTCGTGCTATTCCTCAAGATCAGTTAAATTACCATACAGCATACGGAATGTTTACTAATAACATATCAATTGATGCAAAAACATTGATGACCTCTAAAATTAACGGAAAGATCAAAAATTTGACAGAATATTATTGGGCAAGTGTCATTTTATCTGTATCAGCATTCAACAACAAGCTTGAAAACACCGGAATTCCAACATGCATTAATTTAAGACAATACTTAAATAAATCAGATTTCAACATTGGAAATTGTTTCTCTCACGTCATTGTTTCGACACACGTTACAAAAGATGATGATGTTAAAACATTGATGGATAATCTCCGTCAAGATTTCAATAACAAATACAAGTTAAGAACTCCAATTGGAGAATTGAAATCACTAAAACAAGGCTCGCTTTTCCAAGCTAGTGTTAAAGGATTAGTTCCAGATATTTCACTCAATGGAACATTTAAGATGGAAAAACCATTCAAAGACATGCGAATTGATTTAGGAACTATTGATGGCTCTAATGCATCAATTCTTTGTTTCATTGGTTATTCAATTGTCAATGGCAATCAAAACACATTGTTTGGAAAGCTCCGTCATCCATCTGGTGATATCAGTGATAATGAAGCTAAAACATTGCTTTCGTCATTCCATTATGGTCTTCAAAACATTTCTCCTAATATGAAGATCGGCGAAGTATTTGACATGCTTAGAGATCATCAGATGAACTTCAAAAAGAGTTTACAAAAAGAAATCCAAATGATGATTTAATTATTTTAAATATGCCATGTGAAATGTTAGAGAATTAATTATTTTAATATCTAAATAGGAAAACATCGATTTAGGCTGAATGTTTTTGGTTCAAAAGCAGTATTAATTTTGTAGGTTTTAAAATTCATTGTTCCAAGGAGATATGTTTGTTTTCATTCAGTATAAATATACTAATTGTATATATGAATCCATATGTGGTCATATTGCTATATGATATTTTCTCTTATGCTTTTTATATTTCGAGAAAGAAGCACTTAAACTATCTCATAAATTGAGAGCTCTCCCAAAATTGAGAATGTATGCATGTGGAGACTTAGACTTTGAGGCTATGAAAGAACATGTTGGTTCTATTCAAGTTTTGTTAAATAATTGTATTTGTAATCTTCTATTTTTTTTTAATATGAAGCTATCTATATGTCATATATTCCATCTATATTAGCAGAGTTTTATTATGTGTTGTAACGAGTTTAAATTTGACTATTAAACTGTTAACTTTAAAGTCAGATGTATGTGGATGTATTTGTGCTCTTAAAAAATTCAAATGACTAAAAAATCAAAAGATTTTTTATTTTAGTAGTCCTTCCATAATGGTCTTCTTGGAAAATATGGAGTAAAAGAATTGGATACTGAATCGTTTGGAAGAATCTTACCAGCAGCCCATTTAACCAGTTCTTTTAATCCAGCCTCGCCAATGATCTTGCCGGCTCCTTTAATAATTGGACCCCATGGGATGTTGTCATAATCGATATCTGACTCCTCTTCTGCATTGAGATATAAGCGATATGGTTGATACATTGAATCGGATACTGAATTGTTTGGAAGAATCTTACCAGCAGCCCATTTAACTAATTCTTCTAATCCAGCCTTACCAATGATCTTGCCGGCTCCTTTAATAATTGGACCCCATGGGATGTTGTCATAATCAATATCTAACGCCTCTTCTGCATTGGCACTGTTCCTGTGAAGTCTATCGATTAGTTTGTCAATGATAATCCCACCAACAATATCGACTGCTATACCAACTAATGGTGGGAAATTGTCAGGGTCAATTGTTGATTCTTCAGCGTTTCTGGGGAAGTATCTTGGATAGAACGGTCGACTAAGTTCTTTCTCAGCGGCATCTACTAAATGTTTTAAGAAGTCTGGACTAATCATGTTGGTCTCTTCATCGTTTGATGAATACTTTAATGGAAATGGATATGGTCTAATTGGCCAGCGGCTGGATGGTTGCCGTCCAACCTTTAAGACGCGTGAGGCTCTTGATGATGCAAGGATAGCCAAGGCGAACATATTAAATAATGATGATTTTGAATTATTATCAAATTTCCTTATGGTGCGTGTCAGATCTGACAAACTTTATATTTGTGAAATACAACAAAAATTAAATGATGAAAACCGTTTTAAATCATTTGTTTATATTGCTATTCACTGAATTTATTGAATAAAAAAAACATTAAAAAATTATTGTTTGTGTATATTTCAATATTCAACCATTCAAATTTTTTTGGACCTTTTTTTCTATCAAATCATAATCCCAAAACAATTTGAAGGGTGTGATATAGCGAATATACCTCAAATTTTTCTGAGGCAAAGCTCAGAAAAATTTGAGGTATATTGTTTATATTCAAGAATTTGAAAGTATATCTAAATTTTCTTTACTCGATGATTCAAATCGATTTGTTTGTTGAAAGATATGACGAACTTTTTTTTATCTTTCTTTGTAATATTTCATAGGATTGAAAATGAAACTTGCTTTTGATCTTCTTAGATAATATTATCCATATTGGCGATTGAATGATAATTTTATTTATTTTTTATTTATTTTTTGAATTAATCAGACAACCACGTCTATTCAAAATTTCAATACATCTGATTCAAAACCATTAAAGGCAGAATCGCCAATATGGATAATATTATCTAAGAAGATCAAAAGCAAGTTTCATTTTCAATCCTATGAAATATTACAAAGAAAGATAAAAAAAAGTTCGTCATATCTTTCAACAAACAAATCGATTTGAATCATCGAGTAAAGAAAATTTAGATATACTTTCAAATTCTTGAATATAAACAATATACCTCAAATTTTTCTGAGCTTTGCCTCAGAAAAATTTGAGGTATATTCGCTATATCACACCCTTCAAATTGTTTTGGGATTATGATTTGATAGAAAAAAAGGTCCAAAAAAATTTGAATGGTTGAATATTGAAATATACACAAACAATAATTTTTTTAATGTTTTTTTTCGCATGTCTTTGAATGGTTTTTCCATCTTAAATGTTCCATTGAGTGAAATATCTGGAACTAATCCTTTAACACTAGCTTGGAAAAGCGAGCCTTGTTTTAGTGATTTCAATTCTCCAATTGGAGTTCTTAACTTGTATTTGTTATTGAAATCTTGACGGAGATTATCCATCAATGTTTTAACATCATCATCTTTTGTAACGTGTGTCGAAACAATGACGTGAGAGAAACAATTTCCAATGTTGAAATCTGATTTATTTAAGTATTGTCTTAAATTAATGCATGTTGGAATTCCGGTGTTTTCAAGCTTGTTGTTGAATGCTGATACAGATAAAATGACACTTGCCCAATAATATTCTGTCAAATTTTTGATCTTTCCGTTAATTTTAGAGGTCATCAATGTTTTTGCATCAATTGATATGTTATTAGTAAACATTCCGTATGCTGTATGGTAATTTAACTGATCTTGAGGAATAGCACGAGTTAACGATGGATCTGCAACTGGGAACAATGGAAGAGATCCATTATATTCATTAATTTCTTTTTCAAATACTTTTTCTGTTGGAATAATACTAGGGATGTAGTTGATATCTTCATCTGTCTTTAAAAATTCAAATAAATTATGAAGATATCCTCCATCTGCTGCAAGATGGTTAATATTAAGAACAATAGTATCTTTATTTGTCCCAATAGAGGCTAATGCGTGGTCTAATGGACGAGTATACTTCTGATACATAATTTCATTTAATTGTCCAAGATCAGTGACGTTATCAGGGAGTTTATATATTGGTGTAGAGCCATGAGTCCTAAATATTTGTTTTCCATCTGTACCATAATGAAGAGCGGCAACTGTTTTGTCTATCTTGTTGAGTAGTTTTGGCATAAATGACTTATCGCTAATGCTCAATGCAAATTGAATATATGCCTTGGTTGCAATAAAATGTGATTCCCATCCGACTGCTGGGCGAGCTGACATTCACAAAAATGAAGTGTTTTTCTTATTTCAAAGTTTTGAATCATGAATCTATTGAAAAATATTTAAGAGATATTTAATAATTTCGTATAATATAATGGGATTTTCATTTTTATCAGAATTAGTCATGTGAATTCATACCTACCTCTGAAAATAATTCAATGAAAACCGATTATATTTATTGGTCTATATCGTCTATTATCTATTCATTTTTTGTTTACTTCATCGAAAAGCAACAAGGTCAGAAGTGAGCCAAATGGCAGACTTTGTGTTGTTTTAAAATCTTTCACAGCATTTAACTGTTGAAATATTTAGATTCGATATTTCAAAAAAAATTTTATCAAATCGTGATTGAAACAATTTTTAATGGATAATTGTAACAAACTTATCTAACATTAACACAGATTGCTTGTACTGTAAATAGAAGAGCTATATTTATTTCGTTCATTAATAAAGCGGAATTCATTGAGAAATTATGAATAAAATTCTATTCAGTGATTATCTTTTACATATATTTCATTAGTTTGCATATTTATATGGGGATTTTATTTACCTACTTTGATAGGAATCAATTCAACAGTATTTGCATTCATATAGTTGGAAATACATCAAATGCACTGTGCGCTATTTTTGGAGCTATGTATGAACTAAGAAGCTTTTATAGGAATTTCAAGTTTGAAAATAGAAAGAATAAAACATTCTGCATGGAATGTAATGTTTAAAAAAATATTAAAATTCTAAAATGATGATTTTATTTCATTTTAAGTTGTTTTTTTATTGAACAACTTTAGAAAGAATCTCTTCAACAACTTTTGCATTCAATTCGTTGTTGTATCCATATTGTTGACCTCTTCCTAATTCTAAAGCTCTTTCAACAAGGAATTTAACATCTCCTTCTTGAATCTTTGAAGCGTTAGGGAAGTCTGAAACCTTCAATGGCATGCCAAGTTTAATAGCAAAATTGCGGATTCCTTCGATGAACTTGTCGGCCTTTTGATCAACAGTTCCTTCATGAACACCAAAAACGTACTCAGCTGCTTCTGCCATTGTCTCTTTTCTTGATTCCTTAAGCCTTTCGTAAAGGACTGGTGCAACAATTGCAAGTGTGGCAGCATGATCAATACCGTACATTGGAGTCAATGGCTGTGCTGTAAGGTGAACTTCCCAATATGGTGTCTTTCCATAAGCGAATATTTGGTTCTGTGCGAATTCTGAAGCAACAATCAATCTCTCATGAAGTTCTAATGAAGCATCAGGTTGCAATAAACCAGTGCTAATGTCAACAAGTTCTTTCATGACAGAAAAGAAGAAATTGTCTGCCATTGGGCATTTATCGCCTGTAATAACTTGATCTGTGCAATGAATCATCGCATCGAACAAACCATTTCTGATTTGTCTCTGTGGTAATGTCATCGTGTATCTTGGATCAATGATTGAGAACTTCGGATATGTGATTTGAGCACCTCCGTAATTCTTTTCTTTCCTATCTTCTCTTGAGATAACAAATGTATTGTTCCATTCAGAACCAGTTGCTGGAAGAGTAATGATTGAACCAACTGGAATCGCCTTCTCAGGGAAAGCACCTTTTGAGATGATATCCCAAGCATCAACTGATGGATCAAGAGATGCAGCAGCTGAAATGAACTTGGTTGCATCAAGAACTGAGCCACCTCCAACGGCAAGGAGTAAGTCAGGTTTGTATTCACGAACAACTTTGATAATTTCCAAACACGTTTTGTATTCTGGGTTTGGCTGAATGCCTCCTTGCCATTTGACTTCGCATTCAAGATCGGCTAATGCTTTAACAACACTGAACGAGCACCATTCTTATCAATTGATCCGCCGCCAAATGTGCATAAAACGCGTGATTTTCTTGGGACGAAATCCTTGAGATGCTCTTGAACAGCATTAGCACCGAAAGCTAACTGAACATTATTAGTCCAAAGCCACTTCATCCTCTATTGATGTATAAAAATGAAGTGTATTTTTTTAATTAACTATTTATCTCAAATTTTTGAGAGAAAAATATATTCCGGCCAATTGTTTAAAAATTACATTGCTTTTGATAATTCAAGATTATATAGCTTCGAGTTCTTATTGTTCAATAAATACATGATAAAAATTTTGAAACAAGTGAGTTGCGTCATAAAGTTTTGAATTTTTTCTGACATTTGTCCATATGAATTCACAGCTATTTTGCTAACCATTTAGATATTAGAATTACAATAAATTAATTATATGTCTCATTAAGACAGTGATTGTAGTTCAATTTCAATTTTTGAATCGAAATTCAGATATGATTATAAGGCGATCATTTATTTTTGATCAATATTATATATTGGTGTTTCAAATTAATGTTTAATACTATTTGCATGGATTTTCAAAAGTTATTTGTAACTTCAGTCATTTAAAATTTATTAATTTCATTAACCATATATAGGAGGATGAAGTTAATGTGGATCTTATTTTTATCATGATTAAGATAGAAAGAATAATAAAAATGAATTTTTAGTTATATTCAAAGTTTATTCATACATTTATTATATTTATCCATATCTAGTGATAATACTCATATACTCTGCCATAGAACCTGCATTATACCTTCCTCGAAGATATTCATGTTGAACAGGACCCCCACTATTTTCAATTCTGCTAATTCTAGAGTCTGTTTTTTGAGAAGATGAACTGCTCTTCGATTGGGATGATCCTTGCTTAGAACTCATCTTTTAAAAATGAAATGAGTTCTATTTTTTGTCAAAAATTTTATTCCTAGTCAAAAATTTTGAATCAAATTGATTCACACTATAATGATTAAAATTTAAAATATTTGATCGATTGTTATTAAAACTATAACTTCAAGATAAAATTAATCTAATGAATTCTTATTTCAAAAAAAAAGTAAAGGCTCAAAGCTAAAAGCTAAAAGATTGATAACAGCACCGTATTTATTAAGATGAACAAAACAATCGCAAATCAAATTGAATGATTAAGGAGAAAGGAAATTTAAAGAAAAATTGAATACCCTCAAAATTTCAAAATTTTGAAGAGGAATTCATTAGATTAATTTTATCTTGAAGTTATAGTTTTAATAACAATCGATCAAATATTTTAAATTTTAATCATTATAGTGTGAATCAATTTGATTCAAAATTTTTGACTAGGAATAAAATTTTTGACAAAAAATAGAACTCATTTCATTTTTAAAAGATGAGTTCTAAGCAAGGATCATCCCAATCGAAGAGCAGTTCATCTTCTCAAAAAACAGACTCTAGAATTAGCAGAATTGAAAATAGTGGGGGTCCTGTTCAACATGAATATCTTAGAGGAAAGTATAATGCAGGTTCTATGGCAGAGTATATGAGTATTATCACTAGATATGGATAAATATAATAAATGTATGAATAAACTTTGAATATAACTAAAAATTCATTTTTATTATTCTTTCTATCTTAATCATGATAAAAATAAGATCCACATTAACTTCATCCTCCTATATATGGTTAATGAAATTAATAAATTTTAAATGACTGAAGTTACAAATAACTTTTGAAAATCCATGCAAATAGTATTAAACATTAATTTGAAACACCAATATATAATATTGATCAAAAATAAATGATCGCCTTATAATCATATCTGAATTTCGATTCAAAAATTGAAATTGAACTACAATCACTGTCTTAATGAGACATATAATTAATTTATTGTAATTCTAATATCTAAATGGTTAGCAAAATAGCTGTGAATTCATATGGACAAATGTCAGAAAAAATTCAAAACTTTATGACGCAACTCACTTGTTTCAAAATTTTTATCATGTATTTATTGAACAATAAGAACTCGAAGCTATATAATCTTGAATTATCAAAAGCAATGTAATTTTTAAACAATTGGCCGGAATATATTTTTCTCTCAAAAATTTGAGATAAATAGTTAATTAAAAAAATACACTTCATTTTTATACATCAATAGAGGATGAAGTGGCTTTGGACTAATAATGTTCAGTTAGCTTTCGGTGCTAATGCTGTTCAAGAGCATCTCAAGGATTTCGTCCCAAGAAAATCACGCGTTTTATGCACATTTGGCGGCGGATCAATTGATAAGAATGGTGCTCGTTCAGTGTTGTTAAAGCATTAGCCGATCTTGAATGCGAAGTCAAATGGCAAGGAGGCATTCAGCCAAACCCAGAATACAAAACGTGTTTGGAAATTATCAAAGTTGTTCGTGAATACAAACCTGACTTACTCCTTGCCGTTGGAGGTGGCTCAGTTCTTGATGCAACCAAGTTCATTTCAGCTGCTGCATCTCTTGATCCATCAGTTGATGCTTGGGATATCATCTCAAAAGGTGCTTTCCCTGAGAAGGCGATTCCAGTTGGTTCAATCATTACTCTTCCAGCAACTGGTTCTGAATGGAACAATACATTTGTTATCTCAAGAGAAGATAGGAAAGAAAAGAATTACGGAGGTGCTCAAATCACATATCCGAAGTTCTCAATCATTGATCCAAGATACACGATGACATTACCACAGAGACAAATCAGAAATGGTTTGTTCGATGCGATGATTCATTGCACAGATCAAGTTATTACAGGCGATAAATGCCCAATGGCAGACAATTTCTTCTTTTCTGTCATGAAAGAACTTGTTGACATTAGCACTGGTTTATTGCAACCTGATGCTTCATTAGAACTTCATGAGAGATTGATTGTTGCTTCAGAATTCGCACAGAACCAAATATTCGCTTATGGAAAGACACCATATTGGGAAGTTCACCTTACAGCACAGCCATTGACTCCAATGTACGGTATTGATCATGCTGCCACACTTGCAATTGTTGCACCAGTCCTTTACGAAAGGCTTAAGGAATCAAGAAAAGAGACAATGGCAGAAGCAGCTGAGTACGTTTTTGGTGTTCATGAAGGAACTGTTGATCAAAAGGCCGACAAGTTCATCGAAGGAATCCGCAATTTTGCTATTAAACTTGGCATGCCATTGAAGGTTTCAGACTTCCCTAACGCTTCAAAGATTCAAGAAGGAGATGTTAAATTCCTTGTTGAAAGAGCTTTAGAATTAGGAAGAGGTCAACAATATGGATACAACAACGAATTGAATGCAAAAGTTGTTGAAGAGATTCTTTCTAAAGTTGTTCAATAAAAAAACAACTTAAAATGAAATAAAATCATCATTTTAGAATTTTAATATTTTTTTAAACATTACATTCCATGCAGAATGTTTTATTCTTTCTATTTTCAAACTTGAAATTCCTATAAAAGCTTCTTAGTTCATACATAGCTCCAAAAATAGCGCACAGTGCATTTGATGTATTTCCAACTATATGAATGCAAATACTGTTGAATTGATTCCTATCAAAGTAGGTAAATAAAATCCCCATATAAATATGCAAACTAATGAAATATATGTAAAAGATAATCACTGAATAGAATTTTATTCATAATTTCTCAATGAATTCCGCTTTATTAATGAACGAAATAAATATAGCTCTTCTATTTACAGTACAAGCAATCTGTGTTAATGTTAGATAAGTTTGTTACAATTATCCATTAAAAATTGTTTCAATCACGATTTGATAAAATTTTTTTTGAAATATCGAATCTAAATATTTCAACAGTTAAATGCTGTGAAAGATTTTAAAACAACACAAAGTCTGCCATTTGGCTCACTTCTGACCTTGTTGCTTTTCGATGAAGTAAACAAAAAATGAATAGATAATAGACGATATAGACCAATAAATATAATCGGTTTTCATTGAATTATTTTCAGAGGTAGGTATGAATTCACATGACTAATTCTGATAAAAATGAAAATCCCATTATATTATACGAAATTATTAAATATCTCTTAAATATTTTTCAATAGATTCATGATTCAAAACTTTGAAATAAGAAAAACACTTCATTTTTGTGAATGTCAGCTCGCCCAGCAGTCGGATGGGAATCACATTTTATTGCAACCAAGGCATATATTCAATTTGCATTGAGCATTAGCGATAAGTCATTTATGCCAAAACTACTCAACAAGATAGACAAAACAGTTGCCGCTCTTCATTATGGTACAGATGGAAAACAAATATTTAGGACTCATGGCTCTACACCAATATATAAACTCCCTGATAACGTCACTGATCTTGGACAATTAAATGAAATTATGTATCAGAAGTATACTCGTCCATTAGACCACGCATTAGCCTCTATTGGGACAAATAAAGATACTATTGTTCTTAATATTAACCATCTTGCAGCAGATGGAGGATATCTTCATAATTTATTTGAATTTTTAAAGACAGATGAAGATATCAACTACATCCCTAGTATTATTCCAACAGAAAAAGTATTTGAAAAAGAAATTAATGAATATAATGGATCTCTTCCATTGTTCCCAGTTGCAGATCCATCGTTAACTCGTGCTATTCCTCAAGATCAGTTAAATTACCATACAGCATACGGAATGTTTACTAATAACATATCAATTGATGCAAAAACATTGATGACCTCTAAAATTAACGGAAAGATCAAAAATTTGACAGAATATTATTGGGCAAGTGTCATTTTATCTGTATCAGCATTCAACAACAAGCTTGAAAACACCGGAATTCCAACATGCATTAATTTAAGACAATACTTAAATAAATCAGATTTCAACATTGGAAATTGTTTCTCTCACGTCATTGTTTCGACACACGTTACAAAAGATGATGATGTTAAAACATTGATGGATAATCTCCGTCAAGATTTCAATAACAAATACAAGTTAAGAACTCCAATTGGAGAATTGAAATCACTAAAACAAGGCTCGCTTTTCCAAGCTAGTGTTAAAGGATTAGTTCCAGATATTTCACTCAATGGAACATTTAAGATGGAAAAACCATTCAAAGACATGCGAAAAAAAACATTAAAAAAATTATTGTTTGTGTATATTTCAATATTCAACCATTCAAATTTTTTTGGACCTTTTTTTCTATCAAATCATAATCCCAAAACAATTTGAAGGGTGTGATATAGCGAATATACCTCAAATTTTTCTGAGGCAAAGCTCAGAAAAATTTGAGGTATATTGTTTATATTCAAGAATTTGAAAGTATATCTAAATTTTCTTTACTCGATGATTCAAATCGATTTGTTTGTTGAAAGATATGACGAACTTTTTTTTATCTTTCTTTGTAATATTTCATAGGATTGAAAATGAAACTTGCTTTTGATCTTCTTAGATAATATTATCCATATTGGCGATTCTGCCTTTAATGGTTTTGAATCAGATGTATTGAAATTTTGAATAGACGTGGTTGTCTGATTAATTCAAAAAATAAATAAAAAATAAATAAAATTATCATTCAATCGCCAATATGGATAATATTATCTAAGAAGATCAAAAGCAAGTTTCATTTTCAATCCTATGAAATATTACAAAGAAAGATAAAAAAAAGTTCGTCATATCTTTCAACAAACAAATCGATTTGAATCATCGAGTAAAGAAAATTTAGATATACTTTCAAATTCTTGAATATAAACAATATACCTCAAATTTTTCTGAGCTTTGCCTCAGAAAAATTTGAGGTATATTCGCTATATCACACCCTTCAAATTGTTTTGGGATTATGATTTGATAGAAAAAAAGGTCCAAAAAAATTTGAATGGTTGAATATTGAAATATACACAAACAATAATTTTTTAATGTTTTTTTTATTCAATAAATTCAGTGAATAGCAATATAAACAAATGATTTAAAACGGTTTTCATCATTTAATTTTTGTTGTATTTCACAAATATAAAGTTTGTCAGATCTGACACGCACCATAAGGAAATTTGATAATAATTCAAAATCATCATTATTTAATATGTTCGCCTTGGCTATCCTTGCATCATCAAGAGCCTCACGCGTCTTAAAGGTTGGACGGCAACCATCCAGCCGCTGGCCAATTAGACCATATCCATTTCCATTAAAGTATTCATCAAACGATGAAGAGACCAACATGATTAGTCCAGACTTCTTAAAACATTTAGTAGATGCCGCTGAGAAAGAACTTAGTCGACCGTTCTATCCAAGATACTTCCCCAGAAACGCTGAAGAATCAACAATTGACCCTGACAATTTCCCACCATTAGTTGGTATAGCAGTCGATATTGTTGGTGGGATTATCATTGACAAACTAATCGATAGACTTCACAGGAACAGTGCCAATGCAGAAGAGGCGTTAGATATTGATTATGACAACATCCCATGGGGTCCAATTATTAAAGGAGCCGGCAAGATCATTGGTAAGGCTGGATTAGAAGAATTAGTTAAATGGGCTGCTGGTAAGATTCTTCCAAACAATTCAGTATCCGATTCAATGTATCAACCATATCGCTTATATCTCAATGCAGAAGAGGAGTCAGATATCGATTATGACAACATCCCATGGGGTCCAATTATTAAAGGAGCCGGCAAGATCATTGGCGAGGCTGGATTAAAAGAACTGGTTAAATGGGCTGCTGGTAAGATTCTTCCAAACGATTCAGTATCCAATTCTTTTACTCCATATTTTCCAAGAAGACCATTATGGAAGGACTACTAAAATAAAAAATCTTTTGATTTTTTAGTCATTTGAATTTTTTAAGAGCACAAATACATCCACATACATCTGACTTTAAAGTTAACAGTTTAATAGTCAAATTTAAACTCGTTACAACACATAATAAAACTCTGCTAATATAGATGGAATATATGACATATAGATAGCTTCATATTAAAAAAAAATAGAAGATTACAAATACAATTATTTAACAAAACTTGAATAGAACCAACATGTTCTTTCATAGCCTCAAAGTCTAAGTCTCCACATGCATACATTCTCAATTTTGGGAGAGCTCTCAATTTATGAGATAGTTTAAGTGCTTCTTTCTCGAAATATAAAAAGCATAAGAGAAAATATCATATAGCAATATGACCACATATGGATTCATATATACAATTAGTATATTTATACTGAATGAAAACAAACATATCTCCTTGGAACAATGAATTTTAAAACCTACAAAATTAATACTGCTTTTGAACCAAAAACATTCAGCCTAAATCGATGTTTTCCTATTTAGATATTAAAATAATTAATTCTCTAACATTTCACATGGCATATTTAAAATAATTAAATCATCATTTGGATTTCTTTTTGTAAACTCTTTTTGAAGTTCATCTGATGATCTCTAAGCATGTCAAATACTTCGCCGATCTTCATATTAGGAGAAATGTTTTGAAGACCATAATGGAATGACGAAAGCAATGTTTTAGCTTCATTATCACTGATATCACCAGATGGATGACGGAGCTTTCCAAACAATGTGTTTTGATTGCCATTGACAATTGAATAACCAATGAAACAAAGAATTGATGCATTAGAGCCATCAATAGTTCCTAAATCAATTCGCATGTCTTTGAATGGTTTTTCCATCTTAAATGTTCCATTGAGTGAAATATCTGGAACTAATCCTTTAACACTAGCTTGGAAAAGCGAGCCTTGTTTTAGTGATTTCAATTCTCCAATTGGAGTTCTTAACTTGTATTTGTTATTGAAATCTTGACGGAGATTATCCATCAATGTTTTAACATCATCATCTTTTGTAACGTGTGTCGAAACAATGACGTGAGAGAAACAATTTCCAATGTTGAAATCTGATTTATTTAAGTATTGTCTTAAATTAATGCATGTTGGAATTCCGGTGTTTTCAAGCTTGTTGTTGAATGCTGATACAGATAAAATGACACTTGCCCAATAATATTCTGTCAAATTTTTGATCTTTCCGTTAATTTTAGAGGTCATCAATGTTTTTGCATCAATTGATATGTTATTAGTAAACATTCCGTATGCTGTATGGTAATTTAACTGATCTTGAGGAATAGCACGAGTTAACGATGGATCTGCAACTGGGAACAATGGAAGAGATCCATTATATTCATTAATTTCTTTTTCAAATACTTTTTCTGTTGGAATAATACTAGGGATGTAGTTGATATCTTCATCTGTCTTTAAAAATTCAAATAAATTATGAAGATATCCTCCATCTGCTGCAAGATGGTTAATATTAAGAACAATAGTATCTTTATTTGTCCCAATAGAGGCTAATGCGTGGTCTAATGGACGAGTATACTTCTGATACATAATTTCATTTAATTGTCCAAGATCAGTGACGTTATCAGGGAGTTTATATATTGGTGTAGAGCCATGAGTCCTAAATATTTGTTTTCCATCTGTACCATAATGAAGAGCGGCAACTGTTTTGTCTATCTTGTTGAGTAGTTTTGGCATAAATGACTTATCGCTAATGCTCAATGCAAATTGAATATATGCCTTGGTTGCAATAAAATGTGATTCCCATCCGACTGCTGGGCGAGCTGACATTCACAAAAATGAAGTGTTTTTCTTATTTCAAAGTTTTGAATCATGAATCTATTGAAAAATATTTAAGAGATATTTAATAATTTCGTATAATATAATGGGATTTTCATTTTTATCAGAATTAGTCATGTGAATTCATACCTACCTCTGAAAATAATTCAATGAAAACCGATTATATTTATTGGTCTATATCGTCTATTATCTATTCATTTTTTGTTTACTTCATCGAAAAGCAACAAGGTCAGAAGTGAGCCAAATGGCAGACTTTGTGTTGTTTTAAAATCTTTCACAGCATTTAACTGTTGAAATATTTAGATTCGATATTTCAAAAAAAATTTTATCAAATCGTGATTGAAACAATTTTTAATGGATAATTGTAACAAACTTATCTAACATTAACACAGATTGCTTGTACTGTAAATAGAAGAGCTATATTTATTTCGTTCATTAATAAAGCGGAATTCATTGAGAAATTATGAATAAAATTCTATTCAGTGATTATCTTTTACATATATTTCATTAGTTTGCATATTTATATGGGGATTTTATTTACCTACTTTGATAGGAATCAATTCAACAGTATTTGCATTCATATAGTTGGAAATACATCAAATGCACTGTGCGCTATTTTTGGAGCTATGTATGAACTAAGAAGCTTTTATAGGAATTTCAAGTTTGAAAATAGAAAGAATAAAACATTCTGCATGGAATGTAATGTTTAAAAAAATATTAAAATTCTAAAATGATGATTTTATTTCATTTTAAGTTGTTTTTTTATTGAACAACTTTAGAAAGAATCTCTTCAACAACTTTTGCATTCAATTCGTTGTTGTATCCATATTGTTGACCTCTTCCTAATTCTAAAGCTCTTTCAACAAGGAATTTAACATCTCCTTCTTGAATCTTTGAAGCGTTAGGGAAGTCTGAAACCTTCAATGGCATGCCAAGTTTAATAGCAAAATTGCGGATTCCTTCGATGAACTTGTCGGCCTTTTGATCAACAGTTCCTTCATGAACACCAAAAACGTACTCAGCTGCTTCTGCCATTGTCTCTTTTCTTGATTCCTTAAGCCTTTCGTAAAGGACTGGTGCAACAATTGCAAGTGTGGCAGCATGATCAATACCGTACATTGGAGTCAATGGCTGTGCTGTAAGGTGAACTTCCCAATATGGTGTCTTTCCATAAGCGAATATTAGTTAGTATACATATCTCGTGTACGGTGGCACTGCGTTCCACCTTACCCAATACTTGTGAATTTGACACTTTACAAAACCGTTAACGTATATTTTACAACACAAACACAAACACCAACTTAACCTTAAATATTTATAAAGCCGCCAACCACTTCACCTTACTACTGTAAAAATAAACGTTCTCACTTACAAAAGTATTGCAACTCTTCCCATTGCTGTGCTTCACACAATAGTTCATATTCTTCAGTATCGCTGCTGTCGCTCCAATCGTCAGAGTCAAAGTCACTGTCAAAATAAATGTTAGTAAGTTTTGACAAAGCTAATGAAACACGTTTACCGTTTGTATCGTATGCTTGTATAAACTTTCCATTCTTCATTCCTTCATAAACGCTCAAACTAACTTTACCCTTTCTCCCTCGTATCTGATAGAATGTATTTTCACGAGGAACGAAGAACAAATTCTTGAACTCATGACCGTTGTAGTTTGTTATCTCAATAGTTTTCGTCATTTATATAAAAATAAACTTAAAAATAATTTTAAAAATAAACTTAAAAATTAATGATATCACCACTCCCACACGTATGAAAACATCCATTTAAATTTAGGTGAAGTGGTGAGATCTCACCTCTTTTTTCACCTCTTTTTTCACCTCTTTTTTCACCCTGTTGAATTCATTGCTTTATAACTCTCTTCCTTTCTCCAACTCTTCTAACTTCTTCTTAAGTTCAGCAATGTTGTCCTCATGAAGTTTAATCTTCCTTAATATACCTTCTTTATCTAATGGTTGCTTTATCTTTCTAAACTGAACTCTACCATCCTTCATAGTATGAATGTAAAAACCTTCTGGAATAGTTCCTGATTTAATGTATTCTACCAAAAACTTTTGTTTCATTGCTTCAGTGACTTTATTTGTCATTTTACTCTAAGGTGAAGCTAGCACAGCGATAATGGATTTCATGACTTTTAGTATTTCATGCAATCTTAACAGATAGCCTTACAAGTACTTCCAGTGTCCCTAGCTGTCCCTCCTTTTTATATAACTCCATGACATTTATAATCTCACGAAACTTAACAGGTAGCATAACAGATTAAAATCAGATGAGGTTTTGAACCAAAATTTCTAAGCAACGTTGTCAAGGATTTTTGAGGAACTAGGGACAGAGTGTGGCAAAGTCCAAGATTTAATTTATCTTCATCTGTTTCATCAGCTATCTCATCTAATATGCCAATATTTTATTCATAACTCGTGGCAAACTCACTAACCTTCATTATGTTCATCTGCATGCTTCATCTGATAGAAAGTATGACTTTCATTAACTCTGTGAGATAATGAAAACTACTAGGGACAGAGACCATGGCAAAGTTTATGACTTTCATTATTTCCAGAACTTAATGAAAACTACTAGGGACAGAGACCATGGCAAAGTTCATGATTTAATTTATTCTCTCACTAACAACAAACACAAACTCCAACACAAACTTCAGCACAAATGACAAACACAAACTCCAACACAAACTTCAGCACAAATGACAAACACAAACTCCAACACTAACGACAAGTACTAACTTCAGCACAAATGACAAACACTAACAACAAACACAAACTCCAACACAAACTCCAACACTAACGACAAGTACTAACCTCAGCACAAAATGACAAACACTAACAACAAACACAAACTCCAACACTAACGACAAAAATAAATGTCCTCACTTCTTAACAAAGTAATATGTGCTTCTTACACCACCATAGCTCAAACGTTTCTTTTCAAACATCGATTGAAACTTATTTTGAGCCATTGGCTTTAGTCTCTTTTTCTTCAAATACGCCAAGAAATCTTCTTCACATCTTTTCACTTCATAGCCTTCTTTAAACTCCTCCTTGTTAAGTTCTATGAAATCCTTTATATCATTCTTTGTTGCAATGGCTTCTTCACGAACGACATCATGAACTATTTCAACACTGTTCTCATGTATGACCTCCTCACTGTTCTCATGAACTATTTCATCATTGCATTCATGTATGACCTCCTCACTGTTCTCATGAACTATTTCATCATTGCATTCATGTATGACCTCCTCACTGTTCTCATGAACTATTTCAACACTGTTCTCATGAACGACCTCCTTACTGTCTTTCATAAGCGTTTCAAAGTCTCCTTTACTCATTACTTCAATCTCATGCTGTTCACAGTAGTACTTAAACTCACTGTATATGTCTTTGTTGTATGTTATATTGCTTCCCATGTACTCCATGAATTTTTCAAGCACTTCCTCATAATTCACTGTTTCTTTCTTTCCACGACCTTCTAATATCATACTTGCTTCGTAAATATAACTTCTTGCAGAACCGTCTCGCTTTCTACTTCTCTTCACAAATTCTCTCATCTTGCCACCAAATACATTTGAACTACATGCAAAGAATTCATTCTCCTTCGCAAATTCTTTATATCTTCTGTAGCACTCTGTACAATTCCATCCGGATACAAACTTTTCATAGAACTCCTCGTAAAACATTTGGTAAGGTGTTTTGTTCATTTCGATGAGTTCTTGTTTAGCCCTGGTGAATGGTATCTTCCTTACATCAAATTCACTTAAATCTTTCTTCATGAAGTACGTCAGTAAGTTTGAATAAAACTCTTCATTAAAGCTTTCAATGAGATTTGAGAAATATTCGTAATTTCCTTTGTATCTGCTGCTTACGTCAATGACAACAAATCTTCTGTCGTCTTTGTCAATCTTTACTGAGTTGAAGTTGTTAGATATCATGATGATATTACAAACATTCTCTATCTTTCTTACTGGCTGACACTTCTGATTTAAGTCCAACTGAGTCTCTGTTACTATTGACTTTAGTGCGTCGTGGTTCATGACCTTAGACGTATCGCATGAGCTTAGTTCATTGCATACGATGAGCTTCATGTTCTCAATAGCAGCATTGAATCTACCAACCACATTCTCTATTGCCGTTATATTATTGTTGGCGTACTTGCTAATGAGCTCGCATAGAACATTACTAAGTACATTCTTACCAGTTCCTTGCTTTCCTGTTAACAAAAGTACTGTTCCAGTCTTTCCACAAGGATTTTGAACGATGTAGGCGAACCAGTTCAAAACATACTCATAAAGTTCTTCATCCTCATTACATATGACATCGTGAACATGTTTCAAATATCCTTCAATAACGTTCTCATCTACTTCATTCAGTACCTCATACTCATATCCTCTGAAATAGCTGTAAATGTCATCTCTTTCGTCAAAGAATCTCATTCCTGACTTCATAAGATAGTTCTTGTTCTGACCCGCTTCATAAATCATCAGTGCGTTCACATCCTTCTCCTCAATACGTCCTACATAAATACTCTTCATGAGCTTATTGAATTCCTTGCTATCTATTGATACAAGTGTTGTTGTGTCTCGTATTCCATCATAATCTTTCACTAGATATGTCATACGTGCTCCGTCAATAACAACAACACATCTTCTTAAGTCATTTATAACACTAGCTATGTCAATACCTTCTTCACTCATGTACTTATTTCTTCTCAAGTCCTTTAGTGTGAAAGTGTCTCTAAGTTCTATTTCAAGCAATTCATTTACACATCCTTTGCAATACTTCTCTATAAAATATTTCTGTCGTTCTTTACTAAGTTTTTTAACAGCTCTGAAGAACCATGTGTTTTGACTCAAACATCCTTCACAACTTCTCTCATTCATTCCTAGTTCTTTCATGTCATTATCTTCAACCTCTATGGTCTCATTGAGTAAGGTCAAAGGGTTCTTAGTCATTGCTGGTCTTATCTGAAACAATGTTTGTGCAACAGGTTTAACTAGTTCAGCAACGTCCTTCCTTAATATGAATAGCTGTTTCCACTCATCTTTGCTAACAGTTCTTTCATAACCACTGACAGTAATGATTTCATTTGCTGACTTTAGACACTTATGTTCTATCATTTGTATTGCTTTTGTGTAAGGCTTTCGTGAGCATAGGTTGTATATGTCATTCCTGCAATGTTCATTCATGCCAATAGTACTAAATCCTTTCTTTGCTGTTGAATGCATAATATCCATTAGTTCCTGTGTTCGTATTGCTGTCTCATAAAATACAACAAGACCTTTGTCATCTATGACGTACTTACCGAAAACATTGCTTATATTCTTTAACCATGAAATAACATCCTCATTCATGCTGTCAAACATGAAGTAAGGTCTTACATACTCTTCACTTATAAGATACTCCACAAAATACTTGTTAAGCTCTATGTCCTCGTGAGCGATTTCATTAGGTTTGATATTAGTTCCTTTTGTCATTGCTGTCATGTACTTCACTCTCATAGTTCCTTTCAATAGCGTAAAAATACTTCATTGTTTCATAACTGCTCTAAATTCTGTTCAAAATTCGTACAACATAACTTTTTAACATTAGTGAAAGAACATGAGCGAAACAACAACATCTAACATTACAGAAGAAGTCAATGACAATGCCGATGAAAACATTACAGAAGGAGCTAGTGAAAATATTGACGAGTTCAGTGAGGAAGAAGATATTGAGGACGTCAATGAGAACGTTAGTGGGGAACAAACTCAATGGGAAACATTGAGAAATCATGAAGATTATGAGATTTGTACGACATATCCTTTTACTATTCGTCGAAAGAAAAACAAACATATTAAGAGTGAATGCTTAAATAATCATGGTTATATTGAGCTTAGTTTAAACAACAAAACACATTTAAAACATAGAATTATTGCAGAACAGTGGATTGAAAATCCAAACAATTTGAAAGAATAGACCATATAAATCATGATAGAACGGACAACAGAATCTCAAACCTTCGTTGGTGTTCTAAATCTGAAAACAATAGAAATAAAAGCAAGTATGGCGATATAGTTTATGAGTTCGTTGATGAAATATCTGACGAAGCTGTTGAAATAACAGCTTATGGTAAGCATTCGTTTGAGTTCTACTACTATGTTGAGAATGAGGACGCATTCTATTATTATACAGGTCTTAACTATCGAAAACTTCATATAAACTTTACAAAAACAGGTGCTGCTTATGTTTCTATGATAGATACAGAAAACAAGAGAGTAATCTTATGCATAAACAAATTCAAACGCTTGTACGGCTTCATGTAGGACAAACATTATTTTTCAACACTAACGCCAACACGTAGGACAAACATTCATGACTAACATTACTGTATAACATAAATGTTTTGTCATGACCTCTTCGTATATGTTTTGTCATGACCTCTTCGTATATGTTTTGTCATGATTTCTTCGTTTATGTTTTGTCAAAACTTCTTCGTATATGTTTTGTCATGACCTCTTCGTATATGAGCGTAAATCAGACAAAAATATATTTTAGGTGAAGAGGTGAGATCTCACCTCTTTTCTCACCTCTTTTCTCACCTCATGAATTTTCATGATTTCTTCATCGTAATGAGCGTATATGTTTTGTCATGATTTCATCGTATATGTTTTGTCATGACCTCTTCGTATATGTTTTGTCATGACCTCATCGTATATGTTTTGTCATGATTTCTTCGTTTATGTTTTGTCAAAACTTCTTCGTATATGTTTTGTCATGACCTCTTCGTAATGAGTGTAAATGATTTCATATGATTGTTTCCCTCGAAAAACCGAGAGAAGAGATTCCATATGAAAATCGCAAGAATTTGGCTCCTGGTTTGAAATATTATTATGTTCATAGATTTCATCGTAATGAGTGTAAATGATTTCATATAATTGCTTACCTCGGAAAACCGAGAGAAGAGATTCCATATGAAAATCGCAAGAATTTGGCTCCTGGTTTGAAATATTATTATGTTCATAGATTTCATCGTATATGTTTTGTCAAACATGAGCGTATATGTTTTGTCATGATTTCATCGTACATGTTTTGTCATGATTTCATCGTATATGCTTTGTCATGATGATTTCATCGAAACTAAACGTATATGTTTTGTCATGATTTCATCGTACATGTTTTGTCATGATTTCATCGTATATATTTTGTCAAGATTTCATCGTAATGAGTGTAAATGAACCAAAAATAATGTTTACGTTCATGTTTGACAACACAGCAGGGGAAGGCAGTTATGAATTATTTTTGAAGAACTGAAGGTGTCACTATGTCACTCAGTGTCACTCGGTTATTTAACTTCTCTGAAAAAATGAGACAACATGACATTTTGACAACATCACTGGAAATATATGTTATTGTTAATGTTTTCATTAATGATTTCAGGTTATTCAATAATTATTTATTTTTGAAGAACTGAAGGTGTCACTATGTCACTCAGTGTCACTCGGTTATTTAACTTCTCTGAAAAAATGAGACAACATGACATTTTGACAACATCACTGGAAATATATGTTATTGTTAATGTTTTCATTAATGATTTCAGGTTATTCAATAATTATTTATTTTTGAAGAACTGAAGGTGTCACTATGTCACTCAGTGTCACTCGGTTATTTAACTTCTCTGAAAAAATGAGACAACATGACATTTTGACAACACAGCAGGGGAAGGCATTTATGAATTATTTTTGAAGAACTGAAGGGGTCACCAGGTCACCAGGTCACCAGGTAATTTAACTTCTCTGAAAAAATGAGACAACATGACATTTTGACAACACAGGAGGAAGGCAGTTATGAATTATTTTTGAAGAACTGAAGGTGTCACTATGTCACTCAGTGTCACTCGGTTATTTAACTTCTCTGAAAAAATGAGACAACATGACATTTTGACAACAACACAGGAAATAAATGTTTACGTAAATGTTTTGTCAAGACTTCTTCGTATATGTTTTGTCATGACCTCTTCGTATATGTTTTGTCATGATTTCTTCATCGTAATGAGTGTAAATGATCCAAAAATAATGTTTAGGTGAAGAGGTGAGATCTCACCTCTTTTCTCACCTCTTTTCTCACCTCATTGAATTTTCATGATTTCTTCATCGTAATGAGCGTAAATGTTTTGTCATGATTTCTTCATCGTAATGAGCGTATATGTTTTGTCATGATTTCTTCATCGTAATGAGCGTAAATGTTTTGTCATGATTTCTTCATCGTAATGAGCGTATATGTTTTGTCATGATTTCATCGTATATGTTTTGTCATGATTTCTTCGTATATGTTTTGTCATGACTTCTTCATCGTATATGCTTTGTCAAACATGAACGTATATGCTTTGTCATGATTTCATCGTACATGTTTTGTCAAGACTTCTTCATCGTAATGAGCGTAA